ACTCTTCGGTGCAGATGGTAGGGTTAGGGCCTGAGGCAGCATAGCCCTTCCGCTGTCTGCTCTAAGGTGCACGTGCAGTCACTGCCAGCATGGAGCTGATGCCAGGGCTGTGGAGCCCAGTGCAGCTGTTTGCAGGCTGCCTGCTGCCAGGCTGGCTACAAACAGCTGCGCCGAGCTCTGGAGCCCAGTTGTTAGCTCTATGCCGGCAGTGGGGAAGATGCTGGGGTTTTACTGCCTCAGGCCCCTCCCACACCATCCGCTCCAAGGCGCATGCACGCCTGCCAGTATGGAGCTGGTGCCGGAGTCCAGAGCAGATGTTTGCAGCCTCCTGGATGCAACTGGCCCAAGATCTGGGTAGCTTCTGCCAACTACAGAGCCTGGTCTGCTTGCAGTAGGGCTTGAAGTTTCCCAGCTGCCTACTGGGAGCAGCCCAGGTTTCGTGGCTGGCAGCAGCTGCTGGTGGTGGTGTGCTGAGCAAAATGGCCTCACATGCTGTGCTCAGCACATGTGCTGGGTGTTGCTGACCCCTGTTCTAGACCTAAATGTGAATACTTCAAAATCAAACCCAGTTCCAGTTCAGAGACTTAAGTTTATAGGGTCCACTTCAGGCTCTCTGTCAATAAGAACTTATGTTCCTTAAGACTGAGTCACCATGGCGTTCTCATCTCCTGGTGAAGGTCAATTAGACAGCAATAGTCAGAACTTACTTCCTCACATCCATTAGTGACAATGGCAACAAACATCTTCCTGCTACAGCAGGAGGTATGATGAGTACGACTGATCTTCAGGTCCAAGGCATCTACTCTTATGTGAGAATGAGGCTTCATATTATTGTCTTATCTTATCTCAAGTCAATTTCCAGAGTGTGACTGATGATGACTTACATCAATGACAAGAACACCTCTGCCGTACCCCTTTCTCTCCCTCCTCAAAAGGAGCTTCTGGAATAGGTATTTCAGTTGCCAGATAGAATTCTAAGCACTGTACCTCCCAGGCATTTTTACCAGTGCCGGGTGCTTCAATTAGCAAGCCATGCTAATTAAAAGTGCCTGTGCATTAACTGTACCAGCATCTTTGTGCTGAAAAAATGGTGGTGGGGTGCTTTGAACTAAAGGTCATTAAACATCTTTTATTTCGGAGCACTCCACCGCCATTTTTTCAGCATGGGGATGCACAAGGATGCTGATGCATGTGATGCGGAAAGCTGCCAGAGCATTTCAGTTTTCATGCTCCAGCAGACTCAATTAATTGAGTCTGCTCCGATATACTGGATTTCCAGTGTGTCAAAGCAGGCTCCTTGCATGTCTATAGGAGTCCTAGGATATCTAACTGGACAACCTCAGTAGGTACATCTCCTTGCATTAGCCATCTAGGTGCACACACCCATTAATATCAACAGTAGAGTAGATTTGCTTGCTTGGATATTCTTATCTATAGGAAGAAAGACTTAGCTAGATTAACTTGCTGGCTAAGTGCACTATATTTTTAGCCTGATGTTATGCCAGTTCTTTTTTTCCCCCTTCAGAGGCTTTCAGTCTAACTATCCTGGAATACCAACTGAAGCAGGGCAACTTATCCCTCATCTCTGCCAAAGAATACTTTACTGTCCCTTCAGCAGTAGTGTAACAACGGGGTAGTGATTGGGGCACCAGCTGTGAGCAATGACCCTGAGCCCGACTACTCTAGCCTCTTGCATTTCAGCTCATCACTCTCCCATGGAATACTCTCTCATCTCCCACCTGGGAGTACTAAAGGGCCTAACCAAGGTATTCCCCTAGTGAGAGAACCAAGTCATTTCATGTCTGCATTACAAACTTACTATCCCAAGCAGAAGCATGTACAAATGTGCTTTGCTGCTGTCTGTGTCCTGCCTTTTGAACTGGGAGCAGGGTAGCTGCATTCCTGCAGTTCTGCAAATGAGCTTATTATCGTATGGGCAGCCTAATTGGCACAAACTCTAGGCACATCTATATGTGAAATTAATGCAAAGCAATAAACTCCAGCAGCTCGCACTGGAGTTTATTGCCCCCAGGCACCGTGTTTACATGTGTGCCTGGGACCACATCATGTTGAGCCAGGTCAGAGCATGGGATCAACCTACCAGCCCAGGCTTTTCCAACCCGGCTCAACATGCTGGCTGGGGCACGAAGGTGTTCCAGTGTGGGGTTAGCTGGCAGGTAGCCCCCACACTGAAGTGACCCAGCCAGCCCCATCAGTCTACATGTGCATTGTGGCATGCTAAATAACCCCTCCATAGGATAGTATTCGTGTTGACAAGTACTAATCTATAGCGGCATTTATTAGTTTACTGCAGCGTAATAGGGCAGTGTAGCATAATAAGGCCACATGTGTAGATGCTGAGACTTTACTGCAAAGCTAATTAGTCTTCTCAGTAAATGTCTCATGTAGATGCATCTCTTAGTCCACAGAAGCACCATATGAATTTATATGCTGCTTCTGGTTCAGGAGACAGCCTCCAAGGAGAAACGTGGCATGTTTTGAGGATGCTGCCACCTAACTCAGTAAATTCACAGTGTAGACTTATATCCAGTCCCTCAGTAAGATAGAAACCTAATATGTACAGCCTAGATGGGCAAACCATTTCAACTCAGGCACAACTATATATGTTAGATTTAAGGAGACCTATGTCCTTTTCCTTGTCCAGGACTAAGTCTTTCTAGAGTTCTCCTTATGTATTAATTTCCATTGTTAAAATATCAAAAGGCACAATTATATTGGTCCAAAGGCTAATTGAATCTTTTACTGTGTTGAAGTTTGCTACAAGGTTACTAAAGAGGACCCACTGAAAGTGATCAGAGCTCACTCCACCAGAGTTGAGGGAACTTTGGTTACTATGAAATGTCTATTCTGAATATTTTTAAAACAGCCACCTGCAGTCTTACACACACTTTTCTAAGAACTACACCACTGTGGAAGCTTAGGTAACATTGGACCCCTACGGGGCAGGGCAGTTGGTGACAGATGCATGAGAGAAGGCAGAACCCTTTAACAAGTTCTTTGCCTCCATGTTCCTGTCTGCTGACAATGGGGTGCTCTCAGGTGATAGCGTAGAGAGGCCCAGGAAGGATGCAAGTCCCCCGACTGTTAGTTCAGACCTAGTTAAGGATTACCTGGAGGGCCTAGATGTATCCAAGTCGGC